AAATGTAGCAAAAGGCTAGCTAAAAGCAGCAAAACACATGCTAAATGTAGCAAAAGGCTAGCTAAAAGTGTCAAAACACATGCTAAATGTAGCAAAAGGCTAGCTAAAAGCAGATATGATGACGTAAATTAGAGATTCAAAATGTTATTGAGTGAACTGTATCAGTTTTGACTTTTACTCCATCCATCCATTTATCCATCACCTTCTGCTTGTTCTGAACTCGAGTCGCAGGGGGCAGCATCTTGAGCAGGGGGGTCCAGACATCTCTCTCCACAGCCTCTTCCAGCTCTTCTGGGAGGACTCCAAGGTGTCCTCAGGCCAACTGAGAGACGTAGTCTCTCCAGCGTGTCTTGGGTCTTCCCCAGGGTCTCCTCCCAGTCAGACAAGCCTGAAGCACCTCCCTAGAGAGGCGTCCAGGGAGCATCCTTACCAGCTGCCTGAACCTCCTCAGCTGCTCCTCTCGATGTGGAGGAGCAGCGGTTCTCCTCAGAGTCTCTCCTGATAACTGAACTTCTCCCCCTGTCTCTAAGGGAGAGTCCAGCTCCTGCAGAGGAAACTCATTTCAACCTCCTGGATCCACGATCTCATTCTTTCAGTCTCTACCAGAGTTCATGACCAGAGGTGAGGGGAGGAACGTAGACCGACCAGTAAACAGAGTATTCTGATGCATGCTCAAGAGTCCAGGTAGAAAAATCCAAAAAAGTTCAATCTGGTCCTCTGGACATTCAAAATTATTATTTTTTTTTTTTAATGTGCAGAGGACCAGATTGAACTTTTTTGGATTTAACGGAGAGCTTTGTCTTACAGCTCATCTCCCTCTTCACCACAACGGACCGGTACAGCGTACGCAATACTGCACATGCAGCACCAATCCGTCTGTCAATCTCGCTCCATTCTTCCCTCACTCATGAACAAAACCCCGAGATACTTGAACTCCTCCACTTGAGGCAGAACCTCACCCTCGACCTGAAGAGAACAATCCACCCTCTGACTGAGGACCATGGCCTCAGATCTGGAGGTGCTGGTTCTCATCCCAGCTGCTTCACACTCGTCTGTGAACTGCTCCAGTGAGAGCTGAAGATCACGGCACGATGACGCCAACAGGACCACATGATCTGCAAAGAGCAGAGATGAATCCTGAGGCCACTGGACTCCCTCCACCCCCCGACTGCACCGAGAAGTTCTGTCCATGAAAGTTCTGAACAGAATTTGTGACAACGAGCAGCAGGAGGAGTTCAACTTACTACCAGCAACACAAACCAAACTCTCACTCCACTTGTATAGGATGTAATTTTACTCTTCCAACTTATTTTTTAATTGTATATAGTCCAGTGTTTCTCCTACCATTATACAAGTGGGGCGCCTCGCCCCGTCAACAGAACCGAGCGCACTCCCCTCCCACCCACCTGTTGGCACCGACATAACGCTAAGGTAGTGGCTCACAATACAGGTGTGCTAGCTAAAAGGCTAAAGGCAGCCTCTTCCCTCATACTGAACCCTCACGCTGAACACCCCCCACCGAAAACTGTCGGAACAAATGACACACGGCTCAGATGTGTCTCTGCCCCCACCCCCACCCCCCCACCCCCCGCTCCTGCGCTCTAAAACTGTCGGTATAAACAGCACGCTGTGCAGCTCGGGGAGTGTCTCTGTCCATCCGTCCCCGACAAAATCACAAGATGAGCCCCGCCGAGCCCCCGCCATGGGAAGTTTTCTAGAGGAAACACTGAAAGCCTGAAGTTTTTTTTAATTTGACAAGAAAAAAAAAACAATTTGGCTTTACACCAAAATAAAATCATTAAAATGTAAGAACCACAGTTGGTTTTTTTTTTTATTTTTTCATATTTTTAGAAAAGTTTAAACATTTTTATTTAACCTTTATTTAACCTTTATTTAACCAGGCAAATCCACTGAGATCACAGATCTCTTTTACAAGTTAGGCCCGGGCCTGAAGTCAGCCTAACATGCATGTTTTTGGTCTGTGGGAGGAAACTGGAGCACCCGGAGAAAACATACGCAGCACGGAGAGAACATGCAAACTCCACACAGAAAGACCCCTGGTCCAACCGGGGATTGAACCCAGAACCTTCTTGCTGTGAGGCAACAGTGCTAACCACTGAGCCGTCGTGCTGCTTAATGAAATTAAATTAATTAAAAATTAACCAGATGTTGCTGCCTGGTGACACTTTCTCTGCTGTAGAGACACAAAAAACAGAAATTTGATTTATGTTTATGGATCTTTCACCTCAGTTATCTACACTCATCTCCAGGTCAGAGGTCACTCTTTCAAGGATGAAGATGTTCACATCCTGGACAGAGAGGAACGATGGTTTGAGAGAGGAGTAAAGGAGGCCATCTTTGTGAAAATAAATCGTCCATCATTAAACAGGGGTGGAGCCTCCAGGTTCAACTGTCCCCCTCTTACAATGCTGTGATTGCTAGTATCACTCAGCCCTCTGTGAACAGTAAACAGCCATCAGTGTGCTAATGATCCATTGTTAGGCTGATGGTCCTTCTTGAGCATGTGATCAGCTGGTTCTGGTTGTCAGCAGCAAAACTGGTTGATCCACTCTGAGACTGTGCTATTTAAGAGACTGAGCTGAAAACAGCACCTCAGACTGAGGAAGTCCTCAGGATGAGAGACGAAATGTTTCTACATTTTTTTGTTGTTTTGTTTTTTGTTTTTTTGAATGTCCAGAGGACCAGGTTGAACTTTTTTGGATTTCACCTCAGTTGTAATAAAAGTTTATATTTTCTTTTAAAAGTTTTATTTTTGCTCTGTTTGTATAAACCAGATGTCTGTAGATGTGATCATCTGTTTTCTCCTGCAGCGGCGTCATTGTCCTAAACTCCTCGCTGAGCTTCGAGCTGCTGCCGCCAGATGACCATCATCATCATCCGCAGCATCGTCATCATCAGGAGGAGGAGGACGGTCCAGGAGGTGGGAGTGGAGGAAGAGGAGGAGGACATGAAGATGAAGCCCACCTGCTGTTCTCCACTGGTCCTCTGGAGGACAACGCCCCTGAAGGCTGCGGCGTGTCTCAAACCTTGGACCCGCCTGCCTTCACCTCCGCCCACACACACCGGGTGAGACCGGCAGCACCTCAGAGAACCACCGAACCAGAACCTGAACCCATTCCTGTTTGACTCTGAGAGACTCATTCAGCATCAAATAAAGCCGACAGTTCAGCAGGTTTCTGTTATTCAACACCAGAACAGAACCAGGAGGTTCTGAGTCCAATTTAATAAAAGTCTCTTTCACGAGAAACACTTCAGTGTTCGACTGAACGCAGTTTATTAGACAAACATTTTATTCTAACGCACTATTTGATGCTGAAGACAAGGTGTCAAAGCTAAAAGAAGCAGAACAACAGCTAAAATGAGAATAACAAGTTCAAGTGGGCCAGAAAAACATTAGCTAAAGGCTAACACTAACAGAAGTCATAGCTGTGACGTCCTGAACGAACTGAACCTGAATGGCTGAAGTAGCTAGTCCAACAACCGTACGGTAGAACTTTAAACAGAAAGTTGTAAAACAGCTTGATAACCATGTTTGTGATTGTTGCTGTGTTTGACCCGGTTCTGTTGTGTCTGCAGACAAAGAGAGACATCCTGTCAGAGACCAAATACATCGAGCTGGTTCTGGTGGCGGATCATCAGGAGGTCCGTGAGGTTCTGTCTTTAACCGGTTCTGCTGCTTAACACAAACATCTGTTAAGTTTCTCTGCTGAGAGACGCCAGATGTTGGTTCTTCAGTTCAAAACCTCGCAGCTCAGAAAATAAACATTTAACTTTCAGTATTTGGTGCAAACTGTTGATTTCATGAGTCATAAATAAAAATACAAAATCTATAAAATAAGAGTTCTGTTGTTCAGGGGTTTAAATGTGCTCCTCAGTTCCTGAACTACCAGAGGAACAATAAGACCATCATCTACCGCCTGCTGGACGTGGCCAACCAGGTGGACTGGGTGAGACCTCACTTCCTGTCCCTGCCGCTTGGCCCGCCGCGGCAGTACAACCAAACCGCCTTCTCTTCCTGTTTCAGTTCTACCGTCCGCTGAACGTCCGCGTGGCGCTGACCGGTCTGGAGGTCTGGAGCGACCGCAGTAAGATCCAGGTGGAGAAGAGTCCTGCCGACACCCTCAACAACTTCCTGGAGTGGAGAACCAGAGACTTGCTGCCACGCCTCCGCCACGACAACGCCCAGCTGATCATGTAACCATTTACCAAAATAAAAGCCTCAGCTCCTGACCTTCAGTTTAAAACTCGTCTCACCTTCTCATATTTTCCCTCCAGTGAGTCGGACTTTCCAGAGTTCAGTCGAAGTGGACCAGATCAACGGTTCTGAAGACTTTCTGATGGTTTTTCTCAGTTTTTCTTCGGCTGCTTTGAAGTTGTTTGACTTATTCTGATTTTAGCTGCTTTAGGAGAAAAGACCGAAATCATGTTCGTTTCAAAGTTTGACAAATTTTATAAACTATTATAAAATCCGACCGCCACCAGCGATGCAAATCATGCTGCTGAACGAATACAAGCTAAAACTGTCGGAGCATAAGCTAAAACAACCGGAATGTAAGCTAAAATTAACAAAAGAGAACGTAAAACAGTTGAAACACAAGCTGAAGTATCAGAAGACGATAAATAGTCATAAGTTAATAGTTTGAGCTGAACTGATACAGTGAAAAACTAAAAACTCAAACTAGTAAAATAGTAGCTAAAAACTAAAATGGTCAAGAAATGAAAACTGAGAATGCTGAGTCATCATTCAGAAGCCGGTCTCAGACTGAAAACCGTTATTAGACCGAAAGAAAGATGTCTGAGGGACGTCTGCGTTTGACAGGAAACAGGATTTTAGCTCCAACAAGGCGATTCTCAAATAGTGGTTAGCTGAAAACTGGATAATCAGTTCTCAGGTCCTGGTTCGGATCTTTGAGTTTGTTTTTCCTGTTAAAGACTTTCAGATCCCGATCCTCTGTTGGAGTGACTTCTTTTAGACCTGACACTTCTTTTGCCCTCTGTTCGTCACATGTTCAGTTTCTTCTCCTTTCCATGCCAAAACAGGTCAGACTTCAGCTAACAGGATTGAAGCTGAGGAAAATCAGCCGAAATCCAAAGAATAGCTCAGAAAGTCTGGAGAACTGTTGATCCAGACCACAGGACAGTCTGGATCACTGAATGGAGAAAATAAAGACCATGTTTGTCCTGGTTCTGTTCCTGATGGTTGTTTTTTTTTCTCAGGGGAGGTTCTTTTGATGGGACCACAGTGGGCATGGCGTCCCAGTCGTCCATGTGTTCCAGAGACAGGTCGGGCGGTGTCAACGTGGTGAGTCTCCATCGCAGATTCAGATGAACGTGTCTAACTCCAACAGATAAAGCTGAGCTGCTGTCTGAACAGCTGAGGAAATAAAAATCAGAAACTCTGGAGAAAACTCAGAAGAAAAACAAAAACCTGTCAGCCAATCAGAGATCACCTAAAAAACAGTCAGCCAATCAGAGATAACCTAAAAAACAGTCAGCCAATCAGAGATCACCTAAAAACAGTCAGCCAATCAGAGATCACCTAAAAAACAGTCAGCCAATCAGAGATCACCTAAAAAAAACGGTCAGCCAATCAGAGATCACCTAAAAAAACCTGTCAGCCAATCAGAGATCACCTAAAAAACAGTCAGCCAATCAGAGATCACCTAA